CAGCCTTCTGAGTAGCTGGAATTAGAGGCATGTACCACCAGGCCCAGCCAATTTTGTATTTTCTGTAGAGACAGGGTTTCACCCTGTTGGCCAGGCTGGTCTTCAACTCTTGACTTCATGTGATCCACCAGCTTCAGCCTCCCAAAGTGCTGGGATTACAGGCATGAGCCACTGTGCTCATCCACTTGGTTTATTTTCATTTCTCCCCCTCCATCTTCCCTTATTAGTGTTATAAAATTTATGGGAATGGTTTCATAGATAGATGGAATTTAGAAAGAACAAATAGGAGCACTAAATAGTAAATAATATCTAATTACAATGTTCAAAGATATGAAGCAACATTTCTCTGGAGTATATACAAATGAAAAGTACATTTTGAAATGTTCATTATTACCTATTTTATGGAAATCTAAATTTAAGACAATGAGATATTACTACACCTATTATAATGGCTAAAATAAAAAGTAATGAAATCAAATTTTGGAGAAGATGGAAATATGTAATAATGCATACATTGTTGGGAGTGTAAAATGGTACAATCACTCTAGAAAATAGTTTGACACTTTCAAAAAAAAAAAAAAAAAACTAAAATGTCACTACCACATAAACCAGCAATTAACTCCTGAGAATTTATTACAGAAAAATGAAAATTTTATTTATGCAAAAACATATATGTTTATAGAGACCTAACTGTAGTAGCTCCAAACTGGAAACAACCCAAATATCCTTTCATGGGTAAATAAACAAATTGAAGTAAACCATACTATGAAATACTATGATCAATAAAAAGAAGCAAACTATTAATATACACAACAACCTAAATGAATCTCTGCATATTTATTCTAATAGAAAAAATGCCAATTATGAAAAATTGCATGCTGTATGATTTCCTTTATATAAATTTTTTCATCACCAGATTATAGTAATGGAAAAGAGATGAGAAGTTGTGGTAAGCTTAAAGGGAAAGTAGGAAACAAGTCAGTGTAAAGATACAAGCACAAAATTAAGGATTCTTGCTATGAAGGAAATTTGTATTTTGCCTATATCAATGCCAATGTCCTGGTTGTGTTATTGTACCATAAACTTTTTAAGATCTTATCATGAGGTAAAACAAGATCTCTCTGTATCATTACTTACAAATACACAGTAATATGCAATTATTTCAGAACAAAATATTGAATTTAAAATATTTATATCATAAACCCAAAAGATAAAACAATCAAAAGTTGTATAGCTCCTAAACCACATATGTAAAACTAAGAAAATAAAATCATTTTAATTATTTATCTAAAACATAGGAAAAAAGAAGAAAAGCAGGAAGAGAACAGAATGGACAAACAGAAAAAAAAAATAAGATAAGTTATTTCAACTTAATTATTTCAATTATCACATTAAATGCAAATGGTTTAAATACCCTAATTAAAGGACAGAGGTTATCAGATTGGAATAAAGAAAAACCAGGATCAATGATTTCTGCTTACAAGACATGGACTTCAAATATAAAAGCACAACTAAATTAAAAGTAAAATTATGGAAAAATACTATGAGAGAGAAATAGATGGAAGAGAGTAGAGAGCCAGAAATGTTTGTACAACTTATTTTTTATAAATATGCAAATTTCATAGAGAAATTATATCTTTTCAACAAATAATACTGGAAATATTGAATATATACAAAAACTGAATAGATCCTTACATAGTACCTTTATGTATGTAATATAACTGGGGCATGGGGTGACCAGATATTTTATTAAATATCATTTCCAGACATGTCTGTGAGAGTGTTTCTAAATGAGGTTAGCATTTGAATTGGTATACTAAGTGGAGCTGATTGCCCTCACCAGCGTGGGTGGGAGTCATCTAGTACACTGAGGGTCCAAATACAACAAAAAGTTGAAAGAAGGAAGAATCCACTCTCTGTGCCTGACTGCTTGAGCTAGAACATTGATCTTTCTGCTGCTTTTCGAATGGAAATTACATCCTTGATTCTTCTGGTTCTTAGGCCTTTGGCCTTGTACTAGAATTTATATCATCCATCCTCTCAGATTTCAAGCTTTTAGATACAGACAGGGACTGCACCCCTGGCTTCTATAGGTCTCCAACTTGCAGGTAGAAGATACTGAAATTTCTCAATTTTCATAATTGTATGTGCCAATGTGTGTGTGTGTGTGTGTGTGTGTGTGTGTGTGTGTTGTGTGTATAAAATCTCTTAATGGTTCCGAGTTTCTGGATAACTGTGACTAATACAGTACCATATGTGCAAATTAACTCTAAATGAATCATATGGATAATTGTGAAACCTATAAAACTTCTATAAGAAAATACCAGAGGAAGCCTTTGTGACCCTGCATTAGGCATATCTAAAATTTTTTAGATATGATGTCAAAAATATGATTCAAAAATGATAAATTATCAAAAAGAAAAACTCCTTTTCAAAAGGCAGTATTAAAAGAATGGAAAGACATGGCTAAAATTGGGAGAAAATACTTGCAGAATACATTTTTTAAAAAAACTCTCAAGTCATTAATAAGAAAACAATCAATGCAGTGTAAAATGGGCAAAAGATTTGGTGATACTTGACCAAACAAGATATATAAAAATCAAATAAGCACATTGAAAGATATTCATCATCTTTAATCACTGGGAAAATGTGAATCAAAACCATAATCAGGAACTACTACATTCAAATTAGATAGTTTAAAATTGAACAAACTGACCACGTCAAGTGTTGGTGAAGATGTGGGGAAACTAAGTTTTGAGTTGTATTCATTCATAGTAGGAATGTAAAATGGTACAACTACTTTGAAAAACATTTGACAGTTTCTTAAAAAGGTAACCCTATACCTACCATATTATCCAGCCATTCCATTCCTGGGTGTTTATCTAAAGGACAAGAAAGTGTATGCCCATACAAAGACTTTTACACATGTACTCCTAGTAATCTACTACTACTATTTTTAACATCCAAAATGGGAAACAGTCTAAATGTCTTTCAATAGGTGAATGGATTATAAATTTCATATATGCATACAGTAGAATATACTCAGTAATGAAAGTGAATAAGCTACTGTCACATGCAGTAACAGATGAAATTCAAAATAATCATGCAGGTGAAAGAAACCATATAAAAATAGAACATATACTATATAATTTCATTTATAAAAAATTATAGAAAATGCAAACTAATGTACAGTGAGTACCAGAAAGCAGATCAATGATTGTTTAAGTAGATGGCAGAAGAGAAAAGAATTACAATAGGTCATGAGGAATCTGTTGGAGATAATGAATACATTAATTATCTTGATTGTAGGTATGATTCATGATGTCAACACTTACCAAATAGTATACTTTATATATAAGCAGTATACTGTATGCCTTATATACCTCAATAAAACTGCTGCACACAGACACACATACTCACATATTTAAGAAGTAGCGAGATTTGTTGATAGATCTAAGTCTGCCTTGAAAAAATTTTTACGTAGTTTAACATAGGAACCTTTTTATAACCTCAAGATATAGGACAAAGAAAATATGAATTGGAATATTTGTTTCACTGTTTCAAAACTAGTCAGGATCACAGATGTGGGAGATTTTCTCTCTCAAGCATGTGTTAGAGAAGTTAACTTTCACGGATTTCACAGATACAGTTCCCTGCTTTTATTACACTACCATATTCAGTGCCATCCCAACCCACCTCACAAATGTTCTTGCCATAAAATTTTACATTTCATAATAAGTAACGTTGGTAACTAATGGACAGATAAAGGTGATTTTGATGTTTTCATCTTCTTTAGAGTTCTTAGTATTTCATGAAAACCACATACAGTTGTGTTTCAAATACCTCAAATCACCCTCAAGCACCCAGAATAACATTTGAAGTATTTATGGCTCTTCTTATTCAATATCAAATATCCCTTCACTGAAATAATGTTATCCTGAACAAAGGATATTCAGTATAAATGGAAACAAAGATGATTAGCCTTAAGTGGAAATTGAAAAATTATTTGAGCCTTCTGCCATCAACAACAACAAAAAAGTAGAGATAACACTAAAGACTATTACTACTTTAATCTCTACACCTCTTCATAAATAGCCACTGTAATTTGCTGCATATTTTTTCAAAACTTCTTCCTTTCATGTGATGGCTTGACCAATGGCAAGGTAGACCTAGTCAGAATACAGCAAGGTCCTGTAGAAGACTTATATTTTGGCCGAGTGTAGTGGCTCATGACTGTAATCCCAGCACTTTGGGAGGCCGAGGTGGGTGGATAATTTGAGGTCAGTAGTTAAGACCAGCCTGCCCAACATGGTGAAACCCTACAAAAATTATCCAGGCATGGTGGCATGTGCCTGTAATCCCAGCTATGCAGGAGGCTGAGGCAGGTGAATTGCTTAAACCTAGAAGGTGGAGGTTTCAGTGAGCCAAAATCATGCCACTGCACTTCAGTCTGAGTGACAAAGCAAGACTCTGTCTCAAAAATAAAAGAAAAGAAAACTTGTATTTTATTTCTATTCCTTTCTCCCCATCATACCCTCCACATATTCTTCTTCTTTCTCTCCCTTTTTTAAGACTTTTTTTTGTTTGTTTGTTTCAGGACAGTATTTTTTTTTTCAATTTCTTCATGAAGCTCTCAAATTGAGAAGCCAAAATATTTGATATATTAGTGGAGCAAAGAATTGGCTTGAGAGAAGTGTAGTTTATACTTTACCTTGGACACATAGTTTATATCACCCCTCCTCCCAGTAGTGTTTATGTAGACAATTCACTTTTGTTTGGCCTTATGAAAAATGCAATATTGCTGTACAAACACAGCCACTAGGACTCTGCAGAATGAAAGAAGTTGTGAGTAGGATGAGACACGGCAATTGGATAGGCCACCAAAGTCATTTACCACAGATCACTTTTAAGCAAACTCCTTTAGAAGTAGCAGTACTAGGAGATTTTAAGTTTTGATACAATTCTCCGTTTTATTTCCCCTTGTTTTTGGTGTTTCACAGCTGCCGAAGGAATGGTGTGCAACCATCTGTGTTCAAGTGACGGCTGTTGGGGACCTGGGCCAGACCAATGCCTGTCTTGTCGTCGCTTCAGTAGAGGAAGGATCTGCATAGAGTCTTGTAACCTCTATGACGGGTAAGGCTTCTTGTGTTGCCTTCACCTCATGAGCTTTGAAGGATTGATTAGCTCTGATTTTTAAATTATAAGAAAGTGGTAAAATGCATTCCAGGATTTTTAAGGAGAGCTCTTGTTGCATAAAGGATACAACACATAGACAAATTCTTTTAAGGATAAATAATTTTATTTGAAATGGCAAGTTCAAATACATATTTTACTATTATATGCATTTTTAAAAAACATACTTGGACAATTCTTAATAAATTATAGCAATTTATCCTTAATCAAAATTGAGAAATATAATCCAATTTTCTTTATAAAGATTGTTACAAGTAACCTTCCTCTCCATATGTCCCAATATTTTTTATATTCCTCTCATACTTCCCTATAAATTTCATCTGGAGTGCAAGCTTTCTTGTTTTTTTTTTTTTTTTTTTTCAACTCACTTTTATGTCTATTTGTATATGAATGGCTTATTTCTATGTCTTTGACAAGTGCTTAGCCCTACAGAAAACCTAACATTGTAGTTTCTGGTTGAAGTTGTTTTGAAAGTGTTCTGTCAGTTTTTAGATAATCTTAGTATTTTAAATCAGGTATTTTTAATTTTTTCTGGTACTTCAATAATAACATTGCCAGTAGTAGAACCTAGTAAGTACCTAGTTGTATAACCTTTCATATATTCATAAAATCACTTCATCATAACATACTATTTGATGTATCATTATTGTTCTTCATTGATGTGATAATGCATTTTTAGTGCTGCTCCTAAGTCAAATTTTCTTATGTTGCTCACTGAAAGTATTTTCAATAGTTTTGGAAAATATAGTTTTGAAGTTCTTTCTCCTTGTGCCTCATGAATTATCCTATTGATACCAAATTAATAATATTTTAGTTTGGCATTTTACATGAGAAAATAAAAATCTATGGGTCCTAATGATATTGACATCTCTCTTCTTTGCAAGATGTCCAAAAGCAATTCCCGCCATAAAATTTAAGGGGCAAATAGTAATATTAGAAGCATAAGTATAAAATGTTTAAATAAGAATTTAATCATTTTTCAGGAAAATTTTAGCATTTAATTTTGTGAGGCAAAATTGGCTGGAAATTTGAAAATGAACAGGAAATTATTTGCTGCTTGTCTCATTTAATCATATTTATGTTTTTTCCCAATATTATGAACATAAAATACCTCAGATCAAAATATGCTTGCTTTTGTGTTCAGCAATTGATAAATGAAGCACAAGACAATAGACTAATAAATTAAAATGAAACACAGTAGATGAATTTCATTAAGTGAATATTACATTAAAAGTTTATAGAATATATATGTGCAATTCTAAAGAAGAAATTAATTATAGAAATCATTTTGTGTAATAGCAGCATCTTATAAATAGAGGGAACTGATGTAATTAAGTATGGGCTAAAGTCACAGCACTCTATAGGAATCAAGCCAATGCTAGAATTTAGGGTATCTGATTTTTCATCTGTTTTTCCCCCAGAACACCATTCTTTTTGTTTAATATTATAGTTTTTAGCTTTTCAGAAATATGGAATTTATAAACATGTGAATGTATATACCAGTTTCTGTCTCATTTCTGCAAAACAATGGAAGCTAACCGAAAGAAAAATACACGTTTCCAGAAGAAATACTGATTACCCCACTGTTTTTTATATTTAGCATATTTCATATTTATATCACAAAATCAAATCTGTTAAATTAACTTAGCTTTTAATGTATTTTGCAGTAATTTTGGCACCCCAGGAAATCATAAGCATGGGGCTAGTTTGAAAGATGATCAACGTATCTGTCTTGTAAAAGTCTGATGTAATTCTTACTTGCCCAATAATGAATTGGACACCTTCCATCTTGTGGTATGGGCTAGTCTCTTCCAATAGTAGCTAATGGTTATGATAGCCTTTGAGGAAGAACAAGTTTATATCCCAACTTCAGTATTTTCTAGTTGAAACATCCAAATTTGGGCAAAAGATCTAATCATTCTAAATTGGTTTTGTTATATTAAAATTGAGAATAATAATGGTGTTAACTTTATAGGATAGTTATGATTATCAAATGAGAAAATGCATAAGATCTTATTGGCGTTTATATCATAAATATTATCATTATTTCCTTTTTCATCTGTTTATCTGAGTTGATTAAATGGCTAAATAGAATGGTCACTTTAAAAACTACTGAAAGTAATCAAATATAAATATGACATTTGCCAAAATCCAGGGAGCCTATTTGTTATAACACATATTTTATATATATATATATATATATACATATGTTATTTATAACACATATTATATATGTTACATATATGTGTGTTATATATATAACATATAAGTTTTATGTGTGTGTGTGTGTGCATGTGTGTGTGTTATATATATATATATATATATATATATATATATATATGTAAAATGTGTGGCCCCAGAAGAGAAGAAATCCTAAAAAGAGGACTACTTTTGGAAGGGAAAAACAAAAATCAATTACTGGCTGAGTAGTATTCAAATCCATGTCATATAAATCACTGTATTATAGCAACTCTTAACTACAATGCTGAAGCAATAAAAATAAAAAAGATAAGTAACTGCAGTGGAACTTTAGAACTTCTCATATCTGTCACCATGCTTAAACTCTTCTGAAAGTTTAAGAACAACTCAGAAACATCAAAGAAGGCTCTTTGCAAGTGTTTTTATATTTAATAATTGCATCTTCTCAATGGAATTTTATTTTTCCTTTTTACAGAGGGTATTTAAAAAACTGAAGCTTAAGGAAGTTGAAGTATTTAAGGCCTAGAAATATTAGTTGTTCCTGTGGTTTAAATTTGGAAAAACTAGATAGATTCCAGAGTATTCACTCTTGATCACAGGACTTGCTAAGGTAGCACATACAACAAAACTGTGAGAAGTGTATCACAGCAAAACCAAGTGAAACAAAGCTCAGTTTGCAATGCTCATACTTAATAGACTACAGATTGATAAGTCGGATTCAAATGAAAGGGTAACTCTGGCAAAGTCACAGTAGAATCACTAGAGGACAGGGAAGAAAAAGAGAAATATGGAGAAAGTCACAATAAAGGTCAGAAGACGTAATAGAGATTTCAAGGAGGATCTTTCCCGAGAGCAGAAAAATCAGAGTCTGACGAGTGGAAGTCTGGAAGAAAAGGGCCATAGGCCATCTCCAGGATTGTTTTATGACATATATTTTATTCCTCAACTCTGCATGTGGGGAAGTGGGTTTTGGAGAAGGAGAGTAAGAAAAGCATGACCTTTGTTCTAGTAATATGAAAATTATGACCTTCATTTAGTATCATAAACTTTTGATCACCCAAGAAACTCTTATCCAAAACCAGTGGATGTTCTCAAGATGTGCTATAATTGTCATAATTTTGTTATTCAAACAATGCTTTTGATTATCTTTACAATTTACCCTCTCATATCAGCTCATTTTGACTTTTATATTCTGAAGCATTCCTTTGTTGAGTACTTTGTATGGTTTATGTCAATGAAAAGATCACCTGTCTTCATGTAATTGTAATTTTAAAATCAAGGAAATTTATTAAAAAATTTGATTCCTAACAAACTACTATCTTACTTTATAAAATTCATAATCCATGTAACTAAATTTATGTGCATTCCATACATAATTAAGGCATATATGCTATTCACTTAGAAAACCAAACTTAATTATTTTGCCTTGGAATACAGATGTAGTCTTAAGCTAACCAACAGAAAACATAGTTCACTTTTTCACTTCTGTCATTTATTAAGGCTTTATAGTATTCAAATAAGAAAAAAAGTTAATGTGTCACTTTAGGGAAAAATATTTTTTAATATATCACCTAATAAATGAAAAATTGCCATATCTGTAATGCTGTTGGTTTGGAGTTGTAGTACAGGACAGAAAAGCACAAAATAATAAAGTAGCTAAATATAGTCAAATTTTATTAACAATTTATAAATGGTATTTTCAATTGCCTGTACTCAGTACCTTATCCTCCTGTATTTTAGTGGAATGGGGTGGTTTAAACATATTGTAGATGACTGATATCTAATTATTGATATAAAAATTTTAGAGTAGACATTGATTGTAAAATTTACAAGTTGATAGCATGTAATATACAGATAGCCACAAAAATGTAAGGATATAGGAAGGAATGACCACCATCCCAGGGGATTTCAATTAGAAAGTTTTAGGATTTTACCATTAAACTATTTCTTATATTGTTTACCATATAGAATTACTTCAAAAAGAATTTAGACTGCAAAAAGATGTTGTGATATTAGATCAATAATCTAAGAAAATGAAATCTACCATAAAAAGATAGTTTCTCTAATTCTCCAAGGCAAATATTTTAAAAGGAGAAGAGCAATCAAAGCAGTTTTTGAAGTTTCACCAAAAATAAATTGAAGAGTCTTGAGATTTGAAGGACAAGGATTGGGAACATTCATGCAACTTAGCAACAAGAAAAACACAATAGTTCTTTCAGAGTTTAGAAATTAAAGCTTCTCCAAGAGTAAAATTGTATATAAAGACAAAACAGGAACAGCCTTATTGAAAAAGGTAAAAATCATTCTGCTGTGTCATCAGAATAGTTATACTTTGTAACTTCTTTTTTTTTTTGAGACTGCTGGAATATCTCTTGCAGCAGAGAGTCTATGAATTAGTCTATCATTGAACTCAATGGAGGGCAGGGAGAGCCATCTGGCTGCAGTTTATCTTTTCTCCTAATGGAAATCTTAATGTTCCTGATGCTCCTGGCACATGGAGAAACAAACTCTAGAATTTACTCTGCCAATAGGACTTTTAGCAGATGTTACTTCATTTGTTAAGTTGACAGCTTGTTTGCTTACACCTCCTCATGTGGCTGATGTTTTCACAGTGAATTTCGGGAGTTTGAGAATGGCTCCATCTGTGTGGAGTGTGACCCCCAGTGTGAGAAGATGGAAGATGGCCTCCTCACATGCCATGGACCGGTAAGCCTGAAGACATCTGTGGGGTGTTGGCTTATTTAGTATCATGTATGAATGTTTGTTATTGTTTTATTGATTAGGTACTTAGAGGATGCCATGGGGAAATGTTTATCTGCCTACAAAAAGCTTTAAGTTTAGTAGCAGAGATAAAATATTTAAAATGTCAATGTCATAAGTATTTCTTCTCCAGATAAAAAAGTTAAATGGAATTATAAAATATGGAGCGGTTCTGAAATATTGCACAGTGTAGAAAAGAATAATTAGGTTGAAGCATAATCACTAAACATAATTAAAAATATGTATAAATTGTTATACAAATGCAAATGAAGGAAAAACTAATTCTATCTTTGGGATGGAAGTTGAGACATCAAGTTAGGCTATGCAGAAGTGATGTCTGAGCTTTGAAGAAGAATCTGGAAAGAAGAAACAAAAAGTATGCAAGTGTGAAAGTTCATGTTGTACTTGAAAACTATCACACATTTTTATATGCATTTAATCATTTATTATGGCAGTGTGAAAGACAGTGGAAAGAAGGAGGAAGACAAGTACTCATAAATTAAAATCTAAGCAGTGCAATAAATACTATGGCAGAGGAAAGAATTGAGCTATGAGAATCCAAGGAAGGATTATAGGATTAGGAAAGTCCTCATGGATGAGGTCTCATTTACATAGTTTGAAGTTAGCCTTAGAGAGAAAATTATAATTATTTTTTAGAGCTACCTTTGGTTTCTATCATTCAAGTTTTTCTTAATAATGAGATCAATATAAGTTTTTCATTCCAAAGTATCATTTTCATCCTTCTTTAGACAAATTTCCTGTTTATCTGTGTTATTGAATTATCTCTCAGTAGATAACTTGAGACCAACATTTGGGTGTAGGCAAGAGCTTCACATTTCTCTCTACAATTTCACTGGAAATTTAAATAGCTTTAATTTTTCTACCAGAGTGTTTATTCAGCATTTAATTAGCTTAGAGAAAAGCAAAATATCATTGAGCCCTCCAAACTTCCATTAGGCCCCAATGAGCTGTTCTGGAACTTCATCTAAAGAAGGATGTGAAAAATTTGGCCAGTTCAGAGGACTACCACAAGGATGTTTAAGCTTGGAAAATCAAACCTCTGAGAAAAAAAGCGGTGCTATTTGACGTGAAAAACCTAAGTGTAAAAGGCAATTTGATATGTAATGATCTCCAAGTAAGTATGCAAAGGGTATATGCAGCTACTTTCTTTCTCCATTATGGACAGTTATGAAATCTACAGTTAATTGACTGTATGAAAAGTATGAATTCTGTAAAGAATGTCATGAAACACAGGGAAGTGAATTTCTGTAATGGCTTGTTAACACAAGTTGAGATATCTACATGAGCCTTTAAAAACTAACATATTTAGGAAACTTCTTGGCTATAAATCATAAAATAAAAAAATCTCTTTTGGAGAGACTGAAACTTTAAAAAATGTATGATTAAAATAATCAAGGATTTGGCCATCTCATCTGTATAGGCTGGGGATCATCATGGGCTTCTAGATCCAATCATAATGTATATTGGACATAGATTAACAGAAACACTTTTCAAAAAATTATGAGCAACTGCCAAAAATTGCCTAATATTTCATTTGTGAATCACTATAGATGCCACTGTGCTGGTATTTCCTACACATTTCTTATTACAACCATCTTGATTAGTTTTTCCTTCTCACATGTAATTTCCTATTGATTTCTCTTAAACTTTTTAATTTGAACAAGGCTTTAAGAAACATCTTATTCATTTATTCAGCAAATATTATTTAGTGCCTACATTGTGCCAGGCTTCATCAGCATACCTACTGATAGGTTTTTCATATTAGCAAATTCAAACATAGATATTCAAAATTATTTCTCAAAAATTAAGAAGTTGTATTATTTGCACATTTTAATTTTTTCACATTATCTTTTGGCCATCTATTGTATACTGTATAATAAAAATATATTCAGGTAATAATATTTTGGCCTTCTTGCAATTGTTACTTTGCAGAAAATTCAAATCTATTTATTAACTAATTAATACTTTTAGTTTACCCTAAACCTATAGACAAAAAACTAATCTGCTTAGATGTAGGATAATAAGACACCATATTTTTTTCTAGAGTAATTTCATGAGAAAAATCCCCTTTATGAAAAATTTCATGAGAAAAATCCCCGTTATGAAAACTTGATGTTTATTTAACATCTGTAGCAAAGTCTAAATGTCACTAAAGAAAGACATCAATAACTGTCCCTTCAGTATTCCTATACTGATTTTCAGTGTGAAAATAGTTCAATGACCACTTTACCTATGAATCAAGTCTGAATTAATGTGATCATCTTGGATCATATTTATATTCATGATTTAATATACATTACTGAGGGCCTTTTGTGAGCTAGTTCTGTGCTAGGTATTTTCGCCTACCTATTATTTTATTGTCGTGTAGGTATTACTCCTATTTTCCAATAAGGAAATAATCTCAAAAAATGTTAGATGAATTGCTCAATGTAGTTAAATGGATTGTTCTATAGTATTGAGACCTTTCAAATCAAAATTTTAGCATCCAATCTCAGTGTGCTTATCAGTTCCATGCTTTTTCTCTTCTTCATGCTGCCTCCTGTTATATAAAATTATGCTGGTAAATAACTCAGTCATTAATTTACCCTAATTTGTGGGGTTTGGCAGTTTGTTTTTTCATTTGTTCCTCAAAAGACTTGAGACGGTTTATAAAAATATACTTTTCAAAATCCTAAAAGTTAATGTTTAAAATTATCTGATAATTAAGAAAGAATTGGTAGTCCTAGAATGCCAGCAGGTAAGAACACAATGTCTTTCAGTAATGATGTCTGAAAAACTGGCATGGCTGATCTTAACCAGTGGCCCAAATCTTGCTCTACGGTTTGTTTTTTTTTCAACTCTTGCAATTCATGCTAGGTTTTTGCCTCTTTCTAGGTCCACCTGTTAATTTCCGCAACTAGAGTCAGAGATGGTTTCATGGACCAAATAACAGTCATGTATCATTTAAGATATCCAGGATGCTCTGGAAGCCTCCCCATTAGACTGCCACTTTGATGAAATTGAGGAAGTCATCAAAGTCTTTCAAAGGCTTTTGGAAATCCCATTCCAGATCTTATGATATATTCTATTCAAATCACATTTTTTTGACCTCTGAATACTTCCCCAATGGCAAAAATTTATATATATTTATGTTTACCAAACACAGTTACATCTGAATCATGCTATCACTTTCTCCCTTTAAAATATAAAGAAATTGGCTGGGCATGGTGGCTCACGCCTGTAATCCCAGCACTTTGGGAGGCTGAGGCGGGCAGATCACCAGGTCAAGAGATTGAGACCATCTGGCCAACATGGTGAAACCCCGTCTCTACTAAAACCACAAAAATTAGCCAGGCATGGTGGCATGCACCTGTAGTCTCAGCTACTTGGGAGGCTAAGGGGGAAGAATCACTTGAACCCAGGAGGCGGAGGTTGCAGTGAGCCGAGATTGCACCACTCCACTCCAGCTTGTCGACAGAGCAAGACTCTTAAAAAAAGGAAATTGAAAGAATGATGATTAGAAAGTTACTCAAAAAGTCAGCAAGTCAGTAGGATATGAAACTGCGATTCAACTGTACAAGTTCTGACTCCAAATTTCTCAGACTTCTCAGTTTATTTTTGTTTCCCAGGCAACAATATCTTTAGTGTAATAGGGATAAAATGGCTTCAGGGACTAAGATAGCTATATATAAAATGAGGTACTATAATTACACTTAAATGTGACAGAAACCCAAGATAATCTTGAAAGGGTTAGATTGGAAATAAAGGAAGGCCTTTGCTTTTATGTCTTTGTCCACACTTGGTCTTCTATATTTCATTTAATTTTTTATAATTTTATTCATTCTGCTTTACTTTCGCTACTCTTATGCAGTCGTATCCAGAAAGATAAAGGAGAAAATGTGAGAAGAAAGGCAAGCCTGGGAAATCAGAAAAGTTTCAGTAGAACAAAACTGAGGCTAGAAAGGCAGCAAAAGAAGAGAAAAAATAGGAAGGGAACTGATTTTGAAATACATTCTTATAAAAGTGAAAAAGCTGTTAAAGTTAGGTTAATAAAGGTTGCACTGCTGTAACAAATAACCTTCATTTTGCAGTTACTTACGTAAATAAATTTAAGTTCTTTTTTTCATGTAACGTGCATGATTGTTTGTTTGGTTTTGGTTTTGTTTTGTTTTTTTTTTTTTTT